AATGGTTCAACCTCAGAAAAATAATTAAGGTAATTCATCACATAAATAAAACAAAGGAAAAGAACCACATAATCATATAAATTGATGCACAATAGACATTTGGTAAAATCCCATACCCATTTCTGATAAAAACTCTCAGACAAAACAGGAATATAAGGGAAATGACTCAACATAATATAATAAAAGCATATATGCAAAACCAACAACCAATATTATTCTCAATGGAGAAAGAATCAGGCAAGGATCCCCTCTGTCTCCACTTCTATTTAACATGGTATTAGAAGTCACAGCCTGGGCAATAAGGCAAGAAAGAGAAATAAAGGCATCAAAATTGCCAAAGAAGTAGTAAAGCTATCCCTATTTGCAGATGACATAATCCTATACATAGAAAACCTGAGAGGCTCAGCAAGACAACTACCAGAACTAATAAAAAGATTCAGCAAAGTGACAGAATACAAGATCAACATACAAAAATAAGTTGATTTTCACTACATCAGCAGAGATCTCTGAAAAGAAAATTAAGAGAACAATACCATTTACAATAGCTACCAAAAGAATAAAATACTTAGGAATAAATTTTACCAGGGACAGAAAAGACCTACACAAAGAAAATTATAAAACACTACTATAGGAAACGACAAGAGACCTACATAAATGGGAAGAAATATGACATGTTCGTGGGTTGGAAGACTGAATACTGTGAAAATGACAAAACTACCCAATGCAATCTATATATTTAATGTTATCCCAGTGCAGAGTCAATAAGCATTCTTTAGGACATGGAAAAACCAGTCACTAACTTTATATAGAAAGGAAAGAGACTATGGATAAGCACAGCACTACTGAAGAAGAAAAACAAAGTAGATCTCACACTCCCCAGTCTCAAATCCTACCATACAGCCATAGTAGTCAAAACAGCCTGGTATTCGTAAAACGACAAATAGACTAGTGAAACAGAATTGAGAATCCAGAAATGGACTCATCCATCAATGGACAACTGATTTTTGACAAAGGACCAAAGCCCATTAAATGAGAGAGAGACAGATTCTTTAACAAATGGTGCTGACAAAATTGGATATCCACTTGCAAAAAAACTGAAAAAAGATCCATACCTCACACCATACACAAAAATGAACTCAAGATGGATCAAAGACCTCAATGTCCAACTCAAAACCATAAAGTTCATCAAAGATGAAATAAAGACAAACCTAGGGGCTCTAATTTAAGGCACAAATAGTCTATTAAGCATAATTCAAAATACACAAGCAGAAGAGGAACTAGATAACTGGGATCTTTTAAAAATTAAATTCTTATGCACATCAAAAGACTTCTCTAAAAGAGCAAAAACAGAACCTACAGATTGGGAAAAAAAATTGGACATGACATATCTGACAAGGGACTTACCTCTAAAACTTATAGAAAACTTCAGAATATCGACATCAAAAAGACAAACAATACAAACCAAAAGTGGGCAAAGGACATGAACAGACACTTCACTAAAGAAGATAGACAGGCTGCCACAAACACATGAGGAAATGCTAACATTCATTAGCCATTAGAGAGATGAAAATCAAAACAATGAGATATCATCTCACCCCAGCAATAACAGCAAAGTTCAACAAGACAGAAAGTAACAAATGTTGGTGAGGGTATGGAGAGATTTGATCTCTCATACGCTGCTGGTGGGACTACTAAAATGGTACAGCTACTGTGGAAAACAGTATGGTGTTGCATTAAAAAACTGGAAATAAAAATACATTTGATCCAGCAATTCGACTACTAGGGATATATACTAAAGAGATGAGATCCAGAACACGAATAGACATATGCACAACCACGTTTATCACAGCACTATTTACTATAGCAAAGAGATGGAAACAACCTAAGTGCTCATCAACAGATGAATACTATGAAACAATGAAGAATCCACAAATCACCTCATAACGTGGATGAACTTGGAGAACATTGTGATGAGTGAAATACATCAATCACAGAAAAACAAATAATGCACAAATCCATTATTATAAAAAGTCAAGAAGAAGTTTACAAAGGAAAGGAAATTTACTTTTTAGGTTACCAAAAGATGAGAGGGAAGAGCAGGTAAAATTTCTGACTAGTTAAGAGTCATGTGTTGATTTGGGTGAAGGGAAAAGCAATATAACAAAGGTGTGTGACCAGCACAATAACAATAGGGAAAAGGAGGACACAGAGAGGCACATAAAAGGTAAAAAGGAGGACACAGAGAGGCACATAAAAAATATACACAACAGAGGCAAATATTATTACATACACAATACTGCATTATAAGTAACAACAAACACTAGTCTACAGGTAGATGCATAGGAAGGTGAGAAGATCAAGTGAGGATAGGCAAATGGGAATATATGCATGAAAATAGATTTGGCTGATGATATTCCTACATGTGTATTTGTGCTACCAAAATATGCATATACATTACAGAACTAACAGGGCACAAGGCTGGGGTAGCTTTACAGCAACAACCAAGCACCTAGAGGGAGTCAGTCACCAGGCCTGCAGGCTCAAGACCATGGTGTCAGGGAACAATAAGCTCAATTGGCAGAACACAACACATAAAAACTATGTTCCACATCCTACTTTAGTGAGTGACAAGGATCTTGAAAGTTTTCAAGCAGCCATCTAAGGTATAACTATTGCTCTCCCCTCATCTGAAGCAAAGAAGAGTGAAGAAAATCAAAGTCATATGGAAGAAATTAGATCAAGGTTCTTAGTGACCATGGGAACCTCAGCCTTCACAACCCTGAGACCCTGCAACCACTTGGAAAGAGATCAAAATTGGAGATCCTGGATACAGTGGAAAGAAAAATGTGGAATAAAATTCAAAAACACAAAAATGACCAAAATGACTGGTCAGACAGAGACTGGTAAAACCTCTAAGACTATAGTGTCTGTTTTTTCGGGCTTTGAACTAGATTCTGTGGATTAGCTCTCAGCCCAACAGTAGAAAGGCCTATAAGCAGAATACCTACCAGAGAGATGGCCCCTCCTACCCCAGGGAGATGCACCCCTAAGATCAATCAACCATGGGAGATCAGAAGGACAGCATTTGCATAAAGGGAGAGCTGGACAGACAGGAATGCATAGATAAGAAGGACACCGGGAAGGGGCAGTCACAGGGAAGAGACGGAGAAGAACTATTTATTGCTGGGATTGTAACTGGTGCCGTGAAATCAAATGTGTATGAACTGTCAAGAGTAAAATGCAGTTGCTTTGTAAATCTGCACCCAAATCACAATAAAAAATTTGAAAAAAAAATTTAAAAAGAACATGTAGACTACTACTTATTAGTTCTATAATAATGGCTAAAAAGAAATTAATAAAATGAAAACACTATCACTGATTACCCACAACATGACTATCAATGCCCTATTTTTATATATTACTTCTAATGCTCTGTGACATAGGTATATATAGTCTATAAAACAAACAGAACAGAATGAATTAAATATGAACCATATGATTACTATATAGCAAAACAAATCTCTTATAAAAATATCAGTAAGAGGTTCACAGTTTAAAAGAGAAATACAACTGCTGCCAAACTTGTTTAGAAAACTAGACAATTTTTTCATAGATAAAAATTTATAATCTGGGATATTTTCAAGTACAACTCATCTTGCCTTCTGTTTCTACAATTGTCCAACTAAGAGTTTAGAAACAGGCAACAAAAGATGGTAGAGAAAAAGCATTAGAACAAGACCCAACTCAACACCAAAGCAATCCCTAATGCTGTCTAAGTGAGTTTAAGTAAACCATTTCTCTTGAGGATTTAATTTCTTCATAAATAAAACAGGCATCATAATGCTAGTCAAGCAAGCTTACAGTGAGATCATGTGAAAATACTGGTAAGCTATACAGAGTCTGCAATAAAAAAAGAATTATTGGAATAATTTCTGTAAGTCTTTTCAGCTCTTTAATTACAACACTGAAAATCTATGACTAACAATTATTTATGGGCTAACAACCTCCAGGTACAAATAAAACAAAAAAAGAACCATCAGATATTCACTTTAAAGCACTGGTCTTTAGAGTATCAAGTTAAAAAGGTGTTTTTTTTGTTTGTGTTTCTCTTTTAAAGTCCAGTTAAGGATTCTGATACAGTGTGACACAAAGAAGGACCAAAATATAAGGAAATTAGTTGCTTGTTTCTCCCTCAGTCTGCTCAATCACAGAGAATACTGACAAGAATGAAAAACAGCTAAATTCCACAAGAGACAATAACCAATAAGCAAAGGTCAAGGAAACAAGCAATCTGAAGTTCTCAGGAGGTGAGAGCAAAAATAAAGTCTTTCTTATAAGCATTGAACAGAGTTATGTTTATCTATCCATATACCAAACCAACTAATATATACAGAATATAGTATATGAGAAGTTGGCACAAAAGAGAGTCAGGAATGTGAAGTCCCAAATATTTCTTATTCTGTATAATTACTATAATGACAATACTCAAAATAAACATGGACCTCAAAAAACAAGACTGTATGGATACTATACTTGCAGTCCTCTCAAGTGTGCTCTGACACCTTGATCACTTTGCACATGCTACCCCCCAGGCCAGACATACACATTTTTCCTCTTTCTGCCTGATGAACGCTTACTTCAAGACTCAAATCAAGTTTCTCCTATAGAACAAATACTCCCTTATATGCACTTTCATGGCACTAAGTATTACACTGTAAATTAGGTTACAAAATGTATTACGTCACACTATTTCATAACTGCTTCTATATCTGTCCCCACCCCCTCTATACTACAAGTTCCTTGAGGGAGTGCATGAATAGGCTCACACATCTAGACTTTCAGTTTCAGACAAGTCTGTTAATTCTTTGCATCATCCACAGTTTATAATTACGAATATATCTAAGAAAAACACAGAATAGTCAAGGTTTACACTACTTTGCCCTTAAAGGTGCTCTGGTGAAAACGTTTGAGAGGCACAAGGTTAAGCCAATTTTGGTTACCTGTTCCTGTCCTTGGCGATTGTAAAACTTCATACTTAACATCCTTAATAATCCCAGTGTCTTTGGTACCTACAAAATAAAAACACACCATACAAAGAAAGATTAACAGAAGCCTCTCTCCATGTATAAAAGTTTTTTTATCAGACAATAAAAACTGAAAAAACAAAAAGTAGTATTTAGTATTAAAGTAGCATTTTAAGAAATGGTGAAGAAAATCACCAATAGCTGCCAGGGATCTTGATGCGATTATGTTATTAATCAAAAAACAAAAAAAAAAATCACCAAGTGGTAAAATCATACAACATATACCCATGGAAAATGATACTGAATAAATAAATAACAAGTCGAGTACAATATAAGGAGCTCGGGTGGCATAATACCAAAGGCATTTGACTGCTAACTAGAAGTTGGCAGTTCAAACCCACCAGCCACTCCCCAGAAGACCAGGCAATCCTTCAGTAAAGATTTACCACCTCAGAAACCTAAAGGGGGTCACAATGAGTCGGGATCAACTCAATAGCAAGGAGTTCGGCTTTTTTTTTCTTGGTTTTTAGTATATCACCATTTTGCTGTCAGAGTGTCATATTGTAGTGGTTTCTGTGTTGCTTTGAGGCTGGAGGATAGGTAACTGATATTTCAAACACCAGCAGGGTCACCCATGGTAGACAGATTACAGCAGAGCTTCCACACTAAGAGAGACTGGGAAGAACAGAGCCATCCACATCTGAAAAAACTGGCCACTGAAAACCTTATGAATATCAATAAAACATTGTCTGATATATTATTAGAAAACTTTATGAATAGCCCTGAATATAGTGCCAGAATATGAGCCTTTCAGGTCAGAAGGCACTCTAAATATAACTGGGAAAGACAGGCCTCCTCAAAATAGTCAAGCTTAACAATGTGGATGGAGTAAAGTTTTTGGGACTTTCATTTGATGATGGGGTACAATTCAAAATGGGAAGAAACAGCTGGGAACATCCATTAATAATCATAATGTAAAATGTACAAAGTATGAATCCAGGAAAATGGGAAGATGCAAAAATTAAATGGAAGCTAAAAATCAATATCGTACGCATTAGTGAGCTAAAATGCACAGGTATTGGCCATTCTGAATCAATCATATGGCTTACTATGCTGGGAATGAAAAATTGAAGAGAAATGGCATAGCATTCATTGTCACAAAGAATGTTTCAAGATCTATCCTGAAATAAAATGCTGTCAGTGACAGGATAACATCCATAGCCCTACAAAGAAAACCACTTAATACACCTATTACTCAAATTTACACATCAAGCACTGAAGACAAAGATGAAAGAATTTAAGATACTTACAAAATTCTGCAGTCTGAAATTGAACAAACATGCAATCAAGATGTACTGACTATCACTGATGATAGGAATACAAAAGTTGGACACAAAGAAGAATCACTGGTACCTAGAAAATACAGCTTGGGTGGTAGGTAGGACACTGGAGACTGCATGACAGCATTTTGCAAGACCAACAACTTATTCATTGCAAATACTTTTTTTCAACAATATAAACAGCAGCAATTACACATGGACCTCACCAGGTGGAATACACAAGAAACAGATCAACTACATAGGTAGAAAGAGGTGATGGAGAAGTTCAGTATCTTTAGTCAAAACAAGGCCACTAACTGCTCATATGCAAGCTCAAGCTGAAGCTGAAGAAAATTAAAACAAGTCCGCAGAGCCAAAATATGACTTTGATTTATCCTACCTGAATTTAGAGACCATCTGAAGAATATATTTGACACACTGAACACTAATAACCAAGAACCAGACAAGTTGTGGGATGATATGAAGAACATCATATATGAAAAAAGCAAACAGTCATTAAAAAGAAAGGAAAACTAAAACTATACAGTTCCTCAAGGAAAATTTAGGGTCAAATTTAAGGGCCCTAATATATGGCATAAATAGACTCTCAAGCATAACTCAAAATGCACAAACAGC